CATGCGTATCGTCCTTCTAACATTTAAACGTTGTTTTTACAAAATAAAATCGCTGACAAAAAAACCTTACCCACTGTTTTCTCCCGAGGAGTACTCATCCGTCTTTTCGAAAAGATCTCTGTAAGACACCTGGATCAACGCCGAGTACGCTGTGCCCATGGCGACGAGAAGCAGCAGTTTGATGAGATGGTGAAGGCGAATAAACACAGCACACGTAAGCATCGCCATGACACCACAGTAGAAATAGTACTGAAAGGAGTCACAAGATGATAGATGAATCATTCATTGAACGTTGTATTCAGTGTATCTGACTGACACCTCCACGCCTTCATTTAGATAATTTGTTTTTGAACTTAAAACACATTAGAATGATAGATGTTTTTGTTTGGTCTGCAAAGGGTATCAAACCCGAATGTAAATCGACATGACCGAGAACACCACTTAAAAAGGTTCTTACTGAATTATTTTGATTATTATATTATTTTAGATTATTTTGTCATTTTCATCATATTTTCATTATTATAATGGACTCATGATTGAGCTACAAAAAATGACAGACAGAATTGCGGTCATCGGGTACCTACTAAGAAACAAGAGTTCGGAAATGTCATCTTTGTATTTGCATTGGTTTCGATATCTCAAATAAGTTTTGAACGAAATTGGCTTGGACAGGTTATACATGATTCTTATTGATATGAATCCTAATATCGCTAAAAAAATCAAATTTATTTATCAGTGTTTCCAGTGTGATATTTTCACCTTATATTCAATTAGTAGCCATCTCCCATAATGCATTGCATACACATAAAGTCGAATTATTATCAGAAATTCCAACTATGTAAGCAGTCTCTGTATATAATTTGAATTGAGCTCAAAAACTACTACAAAGACATTCCTGTTTCGACATTGTGAAATTCTTTTGTAAAAAAAATGAAAATAACTCAAAGCTGATTTTAACATGAAAAGTCCGAAATATGTGAAGAATGGTTCATAACGATTTTTCTATATTCACACCAATGATAATATTCATAATTATCGATCACACAAGAATATTACTAAAAGCAATACCATATTTTCTATATTTGTGCATTTTTAATGTCATTTTGCTGCATAAAAACTAAAGTTTAAAAATGTCGAAAACGGAGTGTTTTTATTGAAGGGTTTCAAGCTATTTTAATAATGACCACAGCATTGACACGTTCAGTTTGTATAGTTAAATTGTTCCAGAGAAGCCATATGATCCACTCATAGTCATACACGGAATGTAATCTAGTTGCAAAAAAAAAAAAAAAAAAAACACTTGCGAAATAAATGTAATAGATATCGTACTGATAGCTCGCAACAACAATAATTTACCAACTAGGTCACTAGAAATTTATCTGCGTGACCCAAAATTGATTACGTTCTGGACTCCTTTGCGACAATGGGATCTCAAAGATCACGTGATATGAACCGGTAAAATACCCTTCGTTCATTGGTTAGTTTAATCTATTTGCTATGCAAATTTATTCAAACGTAACATCCTGTGGACTGGCATGGTGAGAATAAAGATGCAGTGTAAAATACCTCCCTTCACTAGCCTGCTCAAATGCAGCTACCGGGGGAAAACTCATAATCACATAATGGTATTTTCAGTCGCACAATTAACTTTATTTTGTATTCGATACTGTGTGTTGAGTGCAGAGGGATACCCCACATAGCGCATAAATTCGGGCGACTGACATAAACGATAGAAGTTTATTGCGTGTAATCACCTGGGGAAACTGGCATTCCAAATTGTCCGGATCCAAAGTGAAATTGTCTGAAGATTGCCTTTCTTCTGGCGTTTGACAAACAAACTACAAATAACGAAATCAATAATTAGATAAATAGGCTGAACACATGTAATTGCATGGAAATATCCATTTTAAATTGGCTATCAAAAATACATAATGACAAAAAGGCAATACAAATCGAATGTAACCGAACATGTTACCGTGGGAGTAAAATTTTGCTGTTTTTTTTATATAGTGTTAAACTTGAAGTTGGCGACCATTTTGGATTGAAATAAATAGGAACCTAGTTCGGATAGTTTTTTTTTCTTCATTTAAAACAACCATAAGTTCGAAAGAGTGTCTGAACAAAAGTTTTTTGCGACAACCATTCTTTAAAAAATGAGATTACGTGTCTGAACTTACCAAGTCACTGATAGTAACAACAAAAACAATTGCCACAACAAATATGATGAGAGTACTTCGCGCTAGTCTATTCTCGGCAAACAGGCAGGACAGATCACGCAAAATCACCGGGAAACGTTTGTATTCTTCCGACATGACCACCACGAGTGTAACCGTGTGAATGATTGTAGCACATACAAAAACCACAAGTGTGACATTAGTCCTGGAATATTAAAATAAATATGAATTATGTCATATACATTTTTGAGTTGTACGATATCATAGCATGTGTTATTGGTTAGTGTATTGTTATTGTAAGGCATTATGGAGCGGGGTAGATGTCCTAGTTGATATTCGATATTTCTCAATATATCTGCAAAAGGTAATGACAGGTTATTACAATCGAGACATTCACTGACATGCGCTCAGGGTGATGCGATTCATTCGTCGTACCGCCTCGTGCTAAATATTGGCCCTAGTAGTCTTATACAACGTGCGTTTTACCTAAATTCAAATTTTTTTACACAAAATTCACTGAAAGGGCGGTGGTGTAGAGGCACACGAATTTCCCGTCCGTCAACAAACAATATATTTTAAACGCGTTGTATACGTCGTTATGGGACTCATACTGATGAGCTGCGACGACCACAAAGGCTCATGGGTAGACGCTTGTTTGTAAACAATGACACGCTATGGCCATCTGACGCATGCGCAGGTGACGACTCCCCCGCTTTAAACGAAATGATTCAGAGAAAATAAAATCCAGCGAATATATCCTTTTTCCTAAATTTTACAATCAACTCGCAAACAAATCAATAAAAATTAATTTCAATACAAAACACACAAAAATCTATTCGGCGAAAATTAATTGCAACTAAGTATTTTACTGTGATATACGACCCCAAGTCTTCTAAAATAAGACACAACCACTCGGAACGGTTGATAATAGCTCTATCACCCCAAAAACATTATATTGGAATTGTTCTTGAATCTCTTTTTTTTTTTAAATTGTCCACCGTAAATCTGTTATAATTCCCCTCACATAACAAAATGAAAAATCATTGACTAATTAAGTTGCCGCCTATCGCACAGTATGATATGTACTACACCAACGTTAACGTTGCCATAATATATTTAAAAAAATCAAATTATGTATCTAAATTATCGCCAGGCTTGACAGGAAGGACTCGGGCGTGGAATATTTTAAAATTAGTATCACCTGTCAGAAAAGTGAAATATTCGACATACTTCTCTATTAGAAAGGTCAACAGCAAGTAGGAATTATTATTCGGATGTCGGCGAGTACAAACAACAGGAGCCACGCACTTATTACAACTAATGGGGTATGGATTTCATCAAGAATCGAGACGTGTTCGCGCATAACGTTGGCAGATTTATCGGAGGAACAGCACGGACGAATACGAGGGGCAAATAAACCGTACGCCGATGTACAACAAATACTATTTTCTTAACATGTGTTTGCAGTTGCTGTACTTGTAGTTATATATATGAGAAGTGAGGGTATCGGGCCTTCTCTTTTATTGTTGGCTGTCTTGCGATATGTTTTTTTTCTTTAAACCAGATATTAAAAATAAATACCACAATAAAGATGATAGTGCTAACATGAATGTCGGCATACCTATTTATTATATTCTATATTCTATATATTATAATAGGTATGAACG